ACAAAGAAAAACAAGTAGATAGAACAGAAAAAATAGAAAGCTAGTTAAAAAAAAAAAAAGATAAATATAAAGTAGAATTAAAATAGAATAGAAAGTGTTAGAGTTAGAGGGTCAAATAAAGGTGTTATTCAAATGTTATTTACTCCAGAGGTTTAATGTCATTATAATGAAAAATCTGTCTTTGAAGCCAAAAAAAAAGTGTAACCGTGGCAGAATAAAAATGATGAGATCCAAGTTCAGACCAAAATTGTTTGAATATAAAGCACACATCAAAAGTTCCATAGCGACATCATCCATGATCCAACAATCTCATTTGTAAGTCGCTTTGGATAAAAGCATCTGCTAAATGTAATAATCCTGGAAATGACTTCATTTTGGAGGGAAAACAACAGCAAAAACATAGGTGAGTATTGGATTTGTTGAGTTCTGTGGCAAGAGCTGCTAACTAGCAGAAGACACTAACCAGTTTTAAATTCCAGTTGCGCAGATGGGGAACGTTGATAACACTGCGTTACAATGTGCCCCGCAATAATTAAACTATGCTATTCTGTGACATTAGCGATGTAACGCTATTTACTTTAACGAATTTTATAGAGAAACCACAAGAAACAGATGAATACAGACTGACAGTCAATGTTTAATGTTCAGACATTATTATTTCAATAAATGTATAGCATTTCGACTCGTTTATGTTGGCCATCCCAAGCATGGTTGCAATGTGTTCAACCCCAAAATCAGATTACTTTTAACTCTTAAAAACGCCATTATTTTATTTGGAAAAGTTAATTTTTTTTTATTGACAAAATATTTTCGTTTGTCTTGTATATATTTTTTTGTAATTAGATCAGACAACATTTTAAACTGTCATATGGTCATGTTACAAGCTGACCCTCAGTTCCCTTGCTGTCTATGCAGGGTCAGAAAGCTCTCGGATTTCATCAATATCTTAATTTGTGTCCCGAAGATGAATGAAGGTCTTACGGGTTTAGAACGACACGATGGTGAATAATTAATGACAGAATTTTCGTTTTTGGGTGAACTATCCCTTTAAGGTAAGTTCATACGAATTTACGAATGAGACTCTCGTTTAAAAATCTTCCCCGTCTACTGACATTTGTTATAACATCCGCTTTGAGCATTACAATGCACACGATAACTTTCGTTAACTGTACAATAAGTAAATCCACTTCTCCAGCCAATTCAACAGTGATGATGCTAAAATAGCGCTACCGCGAAAACGGACGTTCAAAGACAAAACTCTAAAAATGGCAGCGCACTTGTTCCTCTGACGCAAAAGGTCTATACAGTTATTCTTGTTTTGCAAGAAATTTTACAGAAGAAGCATAATGCTATCTTGTCATTGTTTCATAAGTGTGTTTTGCTACTGTTATGGAAGAATGACTTGATTTGAGACCTGTATTAAGTGTTTTGGTAGTTTAAGTGCATTTTGGATGTGAAATTTACTGCGTGAAGAGTTTTGATAAATGACCTTAGTATTGAGAAATGTGTCCTTGCGATTGTAAAAAAAAAGCTGTAATGAAGCAGTTAGGGCTGAAACGATTCCTCGAATACCTCGAGTAACTCGAATACAAAAAATCATCGAGGCAAATTAT